TCTGTCAGTCTGCCCCAGGGCAGCTGTGGCTACAACTGGTGCCTGCCTCCACCAGTGTGTGAATGTGAGAGTGAATGAATAGTGGATTTGTAAAGCGCTTTGGGTGCCTAGAAAAGCGCTATATAAATGCAGTCTATTATTATGTATTATTGCAGGGTCTACCTTACAATATAAAACGCCTTGAGGCGACTGTTGATTTGGCGCTGTATAAATAAAATTGAAAAAATTGAATTGAATGCCAAAGAGCTTGATTTTGGTCGCATCTGACCATGACCATCTGCATGAGCTTGTTGTCACATCGTCCCTCGTAGCTGTGTGATTTCCTGTGATCCGTGTTCCTTTGTAACTCCTAGTTTTCCATTCCCTAGTCTTAGTTTTCAAGTTTCCAGTTTAGTATTCTATGGTTTTTCAGCAAAATAAAGCTGCCTTTCTTAGTTCATCCTCATGTGTACCAAGTCCTGCATTTGGGTCCTAGTCCTGCCTGCCACACAGTGGAATCATGGCACTGGGAAGGTTCACCACTATTCCTTGTTTTCTTTATTTGTGCATAATGACTCTCACTGTGGAGTTCTCAAAGCCTTACAGATGGCTTTGTGACCCTTTCCAGACTGATAGAAGTCTGACTTTATTACTCAGCTGTTTCTTTAGATCAATGATACTTTTTGAGATCTTTTAGCCTGCTTCACTTTGTCAGACATGTTCTATTTGAGTGATTTCTGCCAGATCTGCAAGTAATCAGGACTTAGCTTTCCAAAAAATGTGGACAATTACAGTTCAATCCTGATTTAACAAGAGGGGCAATTACTTTTTCACACAGGGCCAGGTAGGTTTTCTCCTTTTTAAGCCACAAATGAATGCTCTAACAGAGGAGTCATTACAACACATAAGTGGCTTGAGGCAACTGTTGTTGTGATTTGGCACAATTTGAATAAGACTGAATTGAATTGAATTTATCCAGTGTGTAAAGCAATACAACACCCCAGCATGGCCTCTACTCAACAAAAACACAAATACTGTAATTGTACAAACAGTACAAACAGTAAACTCAATCACTCTGGCGTCAAACAGAGTGACTGATTTGCTTATGTTGAACTGAACTTTTCAATCATCGATCATATCGGCATAAATCAGTTCATACATTTCTTATTCAGTGCATATTATTTTGTACCATTCTTTCCTGGTGCATTATTTTTTAATTCTTAATAATCAAAACTGTTTAAATCAGCTATCTGACAGTGAATGTCATCCTGCTGTAGCTCCTTGTCAAAGAAGCCTCCAGATGTGACGAAATCTCGCAAAATGAAGACAGAACACCTGCTCAAAGTAGATGACCATGACTTCACCATGAGGCCAGCATTTGGAGGTAGGTGTAAAAATTTCTGCTTTTGTTTGTCTTTCACATAGCATTAAATGTTGATTAAAAGTCAGGGTTGAATTACATAAGGGATTAGCATTGAGCTGCTTCTTGCAATGGTGATGGACAAGTGTCTATGATGTTTGCAGAAAAATTGTGATCTGTAGTGAGAGTAGGGAGCAGGTAAAGGGAGTGTCAAGAGTATGGGGTATTTCTCCTGTTGTTGTGGAGTATCTGGTCCCTGGGAGGCGTTCTGGGCATGTCTCACCAAGAGGATGAAACCCTCCATGCATGGTAATAAGCTTTTTCAGGTTTGTGCATGATAGGCCATAAGTGTTGATTGCCCAGATCTTGTAATTCTCACAGGAACACATGGTAGGTTATTGGCCAGTAGTTGATGGGACCTTCTGGGGATCCTTTGGGATCA